GAAAATTAAAAATTCAATCAAATCAATATGTGAGGCTAAACAATTAAAAACATAATAAAAATGTTATTATTTATATCTTTTTTGCAAATTACACGGAACTAAACCCTAAGAGTGAAGAATCTTAACCCGAGAGAAACCTTAACCCTAACAAGGTAAACCAAACTATGGTTTGATTCAGCTCAGCTACAAATATAGCTCGTATATGTAGTGTTCAATTTGTCGATGAATTCAAAGAATGCAAGTTTTGATTGATGAAAGAATTCACAAGACTATGTGGATTATGTATACATCTAATGACTATGTAATGATTTAGATTCTATAAGTTTTAAAAAAATGTTGTTGAGCATCTAAACCAAAACTAAACACATGCTTAATTATGAAAGAATTCTTTGTTTATCAATTGGTCTCGAATAACTATTAATCCAAACAATTTCATTGGAAAAGATATTTATCCGAATAAAGTTTTATTTACAAGGTTTACTCATTCTATTGCAACAACATAATTATTTGGATCACGAACCACCAATCTAATAGAATCTGGCTGCAAACTCCGATGAATAACCTTCTTCCTATGAATATCAGCTATTCTATTGATTATCTCAATCATAATTCTCCTTTCAACTCTGACAAACACTGGCCCCAGGGTGCCTTCAACACATCCTTCATATCCAAATCTATAGGTTCTTTGCTTTGCCCAGTTTTTATCTTCACCACATTCTCTAATGTACACAACCCGAAGATAGGAGAATTCAGTGTCATGCATGTAATCGATCACGCGAAGAACATGTATAGAGTCTTCAGAAGATAGACGCTGGTTTGAGAACTCTTGTAGAATCTCATCACATCTCTCAACTCGCTTCACAACCACTTTAGCTTTGGAATGGACACCTTCGGAAACAATATATTGAACTCCTTCTCCTTCTGTCCTTACAAAGAGACTATTTAAAATAGTTCCACCATGTGCCAATACCTTGAGTGGATTTATGCCATCTTCTATACAATCTTCCTTCAGGTTATCTTTCGTGGATATTGATTTGCCATCAAAAGTAGAACTACCACTTGTGCTTGAAGAGGAATTCACATGTCGTTTCCCCAGCATATAGATTTCCACCAATGGAGAACTACCATCTAAAGTAATGTTTGTACTTTTTTTGTTGATATAATATTTTGAATTTACTGGAAAAAAATTAAGTGTAAACGTTATTCAAAGTGATGCGTAATCGTCTAATTGACAACATAAAGTGGCAGGTTGCTATTTGTTAATGAAAAATTCCAAGTAAAATTCCTTTTATGCTAATTAATTTTAGATAAGAATTTTTTAATAAAATTCAGATGCATGTTTGATTTAGTTTTTCTATTTGTTCGAAGAAAAAATGTTGATTCAAACGGAACCAAATAAAATCAGACTAAGTGACTAAATAAAATTAAAGTTCAAAGCAAAATGGCTACCTCTAAATCAAGATCCTCATTTTATTTATGAAATTAGGGTTTGATCCATTAAAACTTTAAACTTATTTATTGTATCAAATGTTGCATTTGCTTATGGCAAATAAGCTTGAAAAGTTGAGTGGTATGATGCGAGTTAGTTAAACGTGTGAAATAGTGGTAGAGAAGAAGCGAACGGTTTATGTTTGTTTTGGAAGAATATAATAGAAGAAATGTAGCCCGAATTTGAAGAATAGAAGAAGAAATGTTGAAAATACCTAAACTCTACTAGATCTAAACCATCTTCAAGTCTTGACGTAGTTGGTTGCGCTGGCCTTTCTATTTAGAGATTTCTGCGGTCTTAGAGTTAAAGCTCTATGCGTTCTTAATCGTAGAAGGCATATCATAATTTTATAAAGACGATCTGAAAATTCTAAAAAAACGAATTTTTTTAAAAAGTTCAACTAAATTTGTTAAGTGTTTAATGTAATTTTTTATTAAGTGTTTAAAATGGAAAATATCACATTTCAAAGGTTTTTTTTCCATTAAATTCGTTTAGGGTT